TGCCACACCAGGACTGAACTTGACGCTTAATTTTTTTCTTCAATTCTTTCAACTTGAGAACTATTGAGCGTGTTTTTCCCTTTTAATTTTCTAACTCCAAATCTTTGCCCATTGCGTTATAATACTTTTTTGTCTTCTCGAGCTGCCTACCCCTTTGAAATCTCTTTTTCCGCGCTTTTACTTCAGCATTTCTTCCACTTGCTTTAGCTACTCTACATTCAAGAGCAAGTTTCAGAGTCTCTTCCGATATCCATTTTGATCTTTTGTTTCTTTCCTGTCTGCCTTTTCAGGAGGTAACATATGATCAAGAATCGAAGGTACTGAAGGAAAAATCCAAGCGGCACTGAAGGCATCAGTGAAAAAATAAGGCTCCAGGAATTGACAAAATACCAGTGGAGATGTTTCACCAAACAGATGCAATGCTGGAAGTACTCACTCTCACTTGTCTAAGTTAAGAAATTTGCAAGACAATTACCTGGCCAATGGACTGGAATATGTGTGCCATATATGTGCCGTTCCAAAGAGATGACCCAAGAGAATGCAGAAATTCATTAAACAACAGTATTAATATTATATGTAAGTTACATTTTACTGAAGGTAATTTTTAAATGGTTGCTATTGTACATTGACATGGAACTGCCGGCAATCCAAGCTAGATTCAGAAGAGAACATAGAATGAGGGATCTAATTGCTGACATCAGATGGATTATGGCTGCAAAACTGGCGTGGGTGGCATCTTACCCCCTCTGACTTCACAGGAGAGAAGGAGAATTCAACTTAACGTCAGTCTGATTTCTTTGAGGCAGAGGTGAGACAGGCTTCCACCCTGCAACTTTCTTTACCAAATCTGACACCAATCATCCCTCCTATAACGCTCTCTACTTCTTTGCAAGGTTTGATACTTTGTCGTAATGACCACACAGACAATATTCACAGCTATGGGCTTTATTAGGGAAGTTGTCATGTTATTGTTAGGTGCCACAGAGTCAGTTTCAACTCATAGTGACGGTATGCACAACAGAATGTAACACTGCCCGACTCTGCACCATCCTCACAATTGTTGTTATGTTTGAGCCCATTGGTGCTGCCATTGTGTCAACCCAGCTCATTGGGGATCTTCCTCTTTTTGGCTGGACATCTACTTTGCCTTCTCTAGGTACTCGTCCTCCAGGTGACATGACCAAAGTGTGAGACGAAGTCTTGCCATCCTCGCTTTCAAGGAGCACTCAGGCTGTGCTTCTTCCAAGACATATGTGTTTGTTATTTTGACAGTTGTTACTTTGAATTTTCTGCTCCAACACCGTAATTCAAATGCCTTGATTCTTCTCTGGGCTTTCTTATTCATTGTCCAGCTTTTGCATGCATATGAAGGAATTGAAAATACCATTTCTTGGGCTAGGTGCACCTTAGTCCTCAAATGACATCTTGGCTCTTTAAAGAGGTTTTTGCAGTAGATTTGCTTAATGCAATTTGTCCTTTGATTTGTTGACTCTGCTTCCATGAGTGTTAATTGTGGATCCAAGCAAGATGAAGTCTTTAACAACTTCACTCTTTTCTCCATTTATCATGATGCTATTTACTGGTCCAGTTGTGAGGCTATTTTAGGGAAGTGGGAAGCTAGCAGGCTATAATTCAGAATCAGGAATGCCCAGGATACAGCTGTTTGGTCAGGACAGCCATTTTCCAGCCATGCCCACAGACACACCAATCTCTGGTCCTTGGCCTCTGCCACACTCAGACAAGTGTTACAAATCTCTTTCAGCTCTGCTGGCAAATGCTCAAAAAGTACACCACTCTACCAGAAAAACCTCAACCTGAAGGCACTTAGCTATAACAGTGTGGGCCAGCCAGCCTTGCTTACCAGACAAATGCCAGGACCCTATGAGGACATGCATGTCTCCTGCTTCAAGGAATTCAAGTGGGTTGCAAAGCAGTACAAGAGTAGGACCATTTTCATCTACTTTCTGAAGCCACTGAAGGGAAAGGGAAAAGTTAGTGTCTTTATTGCGTGCTGGCTGAACCAGTTGTAAGAGAAGATCTGCAGCATAATAGCAAAGGATGTGTGTTCAGCTACTGCTAAGTAGGAGAAGAAAGGTCCAAATAATGACTTCAGAAAAAGGTGGACAGTAACTGCAATGCCTACTACATTACTTAAATATGGAACACCTCAGAAACTGGCAGGAGTGTCTTCAGGTCAAACTTGTGGAGATGTTGTTCTGTGAAGATTAATATTTGATGATGGCAATTGTATCTTGATTTCTTAACCTCACTTTAGAGACCACACACTACCTTATTAAATGAGTAAGTGGTGGTGTAATAAGTAAATAAAGTATTGAAATGCATCTCATTTGCAAACACATCACTTTGAGGACTAAGGTGCCCTGACTCAACTCATAGTACTCCAATCGTCTCATATGCATGTGAATAAGGACAATGAATAAGGAAGACCTAAGAAGGAGCTCTGGTAGCATAGTGGTTATGAATCAGGCTGTGAACCTCAAGGTCAGCAGTTTGAAACTACCAGCTGCTGCATGGGAGAAAGATGAGGCTTTCTGCTCCC